AAATTGTTGAAAATTTACCATCAACAATCTGTGACATCATTTCAAAACAAGAACCAACTGAAGATGAAATTCAAGTTATTCGTGATTACATATTTGAAACATTCAACGACGTAGTTGTAGAAAAATTACCAGAGATGACTGAGATGTTAAATGCTTCACGTAGAAGTAATACAATACATAGTATTGAAATTAAACCAGGTCATAATATAGAACCAACTAAAAAGTTGATTTACTATTCCTCTGATGATCAAAAGAAAGCTGTTGAAGAAATGGTAGTTAAATTTATGGAACTCGGTATAATCGAAAAATCCAAATCAAACTATTCTTCACCAATTATGCTTCTTAAAAAGAGAGATTCATGGCGGGTTGTGCACGACTATCGTCAATTGAATAAAGTTACAGTTAGAGATGATCATCCATTTGCACCTGCTGATAGTTTGTTAGGACAGTGTAAGGATTCAAAAATCTTTTCAAAGTTTGATATGTTGATGGGATTCTATCAAATAGCAATGAACCCAGAACACAAACATTACACTGCATTCACTACTCACATTGGTAAGTTTCATTATAAAAGGATGCCTCAAGGACTTGTAAACTCTCCGTCTACATTTGCAAGAATGATGATTGAGATTTTTGGTAAAATCAAAAGTCTACTACAATATTTTGATGATTTAATGGTTCATACAAAACCAAATTATAAAAAGCATATAATTGAAGTAATAAGAGTACTATTATATTGCCGAAAATATTTAATTTACATCTCTAAAGAAAAGAGTGAAATATTCAAAACTCAAATAGATTTCTTAGGATTCCAAATAGGTAAAGATGGTATATCTCCAAGAGCTGCAAAAGTCAGAACAATCTCTGAGTTACCAAATCCAAGAAATTCTAAAGAAGCTGAAGCCGCGTTGGGTTTATTTGGTTTCTTTAGAAGAGTTATTGAAAAATATGCTGAAAAGACGATACATTTATCAGCAGAAGCCAAAGGTAAAGGTAATACAAAATTATCTGAAGATGCAATTAAAGAATTCATAAATTTAAAAAACGAATTCAATGGTGATAACATCATAGCACTACCTATTGAGCAAGATAACAAACCTGTAGATATTGAAAAACTCAAAGAATCCTCAACATTACTAATTGTATCTGATATGAACAATTTGAATAATGGAAGCTACCACTTATATTGTGATGCAAGCGATAGAGCACTTTCAGGAGTTTTATATCAAATACAAGGTAATTCTTTCAAGCCAATTTGGTTTCATAGTAGAAAGTTTTCTGATACACAAAAGAGATACAGTATAGGAGATAGAGAATTCTTAGCAATCATAGATTCATTAAAGAAATTCCAATACCTATTACTTGGTAAAAAAGTAACCATATACTCAGATCATCAGAACTTAACATATATCATTAACAAGTCTAATGATAAACCATTCACAAAAAGACAGGATGGCTACATGAAATACATTAAAGAGTTTGAATATGAATTAAAACATATAAGCGGTAAACAAAATGGTATTGCCGACTTTCTCTCAAGGAAATACGATAATTTCCAATGGGATGAACCATTCTTAAATAAAATTAAAGAAGAACAAGATTCTTCAGAATGGCTCAAAGAAATGAAAAACAACCCAAACATGTGTATCCAAGAAATCAATGGAATATGTTATCTTGTAGAAGATGGAAACAAAAAGTTAATCATTACAGAAAAAGATACCATTGATACTATCTTGAATGAATATCATGATTCTAAATATAGCGGACATCATGCAGTAGATATCACATATAATAACATCAGAAATGATTATTATTTTAAACAAATGTTTACTATAATTAAAAGATACATTAAATCTTGTGCAATATGCCAGTTAAATATTAACAGAAAAGATAACGGTTTACTTCAAAGTTTGGAAATCCCATTCGAAGTTTGGAGAGATATTTCTATAGATTTCTTATCTTTACCAAAAACACCATATACCTTTTCTGGATTTATTGTTGAAGTTGATCAAGTATGTGTTATAGTTTGTAGATTATCTAAAATGGTACACATAGTACCTTGTTCAAAAACAATCACTGCAGAACAAACAGCTGACCTTTTATTGAATCATGTATTTAGATTACACGGTTATCCTAGAACTATTGTGTCTGATAGAGACCCAAGATTCCTTTCGGAAATATGGACATTGTGGGCAAAAACAATGGATTCTAAATTAAAAATGACAGTTGCTTATAGAGCACAAGGTGACGGTCAAACTGAAAGAATGAATAGAGAAATAATTCGTATGCTTCGTAAAATTGCAGAGCAATATGGCGAAAGTTGGGCTGGACTGATTCCATTAGTTGAATTTGCGCTCAACTCAGCATCGAATAAATCTACAAAGATGTCTCCATTCCAAGTAGTTTATGGATTTAATCCACCAACACCTGTCAATCATTTTAATACTTTGACAAAGAATCGTATCCCAATGAGTAATATAAAGAAAATTGTACGTGATAACATTCTAGATGCTCAAGTTGCGTCGCAAAAGTATTATAATAAAAAACGTGGAGGTTTAATATTTGTCGTAGGAGAAAAAGTACTTGTAAAAAGAAAATATTTCAAAACAAGTGATTCTATCGATTTAATCTCACACAAATTAGAATCTAAAAATTGTGGTCCATTCAAAATCATAGAAATTAATGGTAACAATGTTACTCTTGATACCGGTTATCCAAAAAGAAACAATGTTTTCAATATGGATCAATTAGTCAAACTATATGAAGACGAAGACTGGTTGAGAGACGAAATTTCTATGCCTGATCCAGAAGAAATGGAAGACGGTGAAGAGGAATACGAGGTTGAAAAAATATTAAACCATGATAAAAGAAATAAACTTTACTTGGTAAAATGGAAAGGCTATCCTTCACCAACATGGAATAAAGAGATAGACCTTACCAATTGTGAAGATGTATTAAGAGAGTATTGGAAAGATCCAAATAATAATTTGAACTCTAAAAAGGGAAGAGATGAAGAAAACAAAGAAGCTATGAGCTCAAATTCTTCTTCGAAACCTTCCAATACTCCAAAAAAATCAAAAGCATCTTTAAAAACAATAAAAAATAAAAAATCATCTAAAAGTAAAAATAAAGATATAGATACTGATGATAACTCTGATGTCAACATAAAAATTACTAAATCAACCACAAGATCTGGTAGAGTAATAAAGCCACTTCCTAAACATTAATCGCCTTAAAGAAAGGAGGGGAAGGTGTTAGACACTCACATATTAATTATATAATAATTAATATATAATATATATATATAATTGGGTTTTTATAGCCTATAAAGCTTTTCCCATAAAAAGTAATACGATGGCTTCTTGCAACGTGTTTCATAAAAATTTCTTTTAACCGAAATTTTTATTTTAATTTTTTTTAATTTTTTTAATATTTTTTCAAAAATAATTCGCCAAAAAAAAGGCATAAAAATTCATAAATAAAGATCATTATATCAATATTATTAATATTATCAATATTATCAATAACGATAGTTTTAACCCAAAAAGTCTCATTATAAGGTATTTTATTATTTATTATTTGTTTGTTTGTTTTGGTTGTTTATATGTTTTCCAGATAGAAGATCACCCAATCTTTTACAATATAATTCCTGTAACTCTAGTGAAGCTCTAACTGTAACCTCTCAAGATAGGGATTTCATCACAACATTGTTTATTTTTGTCTCTGGATCTTAGAAGAAGAACTACGACTTAACATATTGAAAGAGTACTCAAGAGATTTAATTTAATCTGTGCAGCATGGGAAAAAGAGGTTAAAAATTAACAGAATATAAGAAACTTCGGCACCAAGATCCAGCTAGCGACACCACACAATGAAGATAGTCAACAGAATAGCCAAAATCAAATAGTCAAAATTACATCACCAAAAAACAACTAATAAAGTACAAACAATTATTGGATCATGCAGGGAAAAAACCACCAATTAGATTCACTGACAAAGAGTATTAAAGCATAGCTAAACCAATCAATTTTTATAAATTTATTTATTAAATGATTATATAATTAAATTTATAAATAATTTACTTTTAAAAAAATATAAACAAATTTTATTAAAATTTTTTTTTTTTTTTAAAAAAAAGTGAAGATTCTTAATGATATATTAAGTCATCAGTATTTTTATTGTGTTTTTGTTTTATTTCGGTATGTTTTTTATACTTGAATGAGTGTGGTAAAACTTCATACAAGTTGGGCACGGTAACATCAATTTGTATGTGATTCGGAAACTGGCGAGACTGTTATTATTATTTTTATTTATAAAAAATTTATTAAAACAACTTTTTTTTAAAAGCTTTTTTTGTAAATATATTATTTTTGTTTCATGATTTTTATAGTTTTGTAGAAAATTATTTTTGTTAATTTATGTATCAGGTGTGTTATTTTGATCAATTAAAAAATAAAAAAATATAAATTATTGAAATATAAATTAAAAAAAAAAAATTATATAAATTTAAAAAAAAAAAAAAAAAAAAAAAAAATATAAGAATATGTTTTGTTTGTAATATCTTTATTTAATATATTTTATCAATTTTATGAATATGAGAATGTAGAGCATATATGATTGAGCCTGAAAAAGACAATGAGTAGTTAAAATACAGGACTTGTGGATGAATAAAAAAACAAAGTTAATTGAGCAGGAGCTGGTAAATTAAAATCTTGATGCAAGTTTTTGAGTTTAACCAATGAATATGATTTTGAGTATCTTTTTGAATTGCTTCTGATAATAATGAGTTTAAATTGGGGTTGATTGAACGAGATAATGGATCTATATTATTGACATAACCATTCTCCTATTACTACTTGATCTTGAAACACCTAAACCTAAACATAATTTCTTTAAAGTCGAATTATTTAATTTATAAAGATCCACTTCATCACTACTATTATAACATTTGCTTGGATTAACTTCACGATTTGATCATCTGTAAAGTTAGTTTTTGATTGCTACTGTTTTGAATGAATAAGTCTAATGAGCTTAAAATTAAATGTGGATAATAACTTTAATAATGAGATAAGGAACATAAATGACCAAACATCAAATCTTTTTTTATTTTGGTTTCTCTCCTCTGAACTATGCTGTTGTTGAGTATTACTTGAGGTTTTGAGATGGGTTATAAAAGGGTGTAATTTTAAAATTATTTGATTTGAGTATTTCGATTGCCATATTATAAGATGATGGATTATTGATTTCTCCATATTGTTGGAATCTTGCATTAAGTATTCTTTTGTTTTTAATAACTTTAAATAGTTTATATTATTCAATAAATAGTTATTATTTGATGATGATTCGATAGTTGCCTCATTATCATCTCTATTACATTTATTGTTGTTGTTTGATGAGTCAATCTGTATGTCTGATGTCATTTGTACTTGGAATGTATTAATTTTGAATAACCAGTTTGAAATTGATAATGATAATTTGGATCCTCCTTTTGAAACTGTGAATTGATTACCTGCAAATGTGAAACCTTTATCTTTATCGTTTACTTTTTCTATTATTAATTTTATTATCGCATTTGTATTGTCTTCTTTAATTCTTATTTGATGAATGTGGTGACTGATTCTTGCTTATTTGCAAATATCTAGTTGTTTGATAAATTGAATATTGCTATTTGTTGATTGTTAAAGTCTAATTCTATAATTGAATCGATATTGAATATCCTATAAATTGATTTTTAATTATAACTGTTCCATTGTTATTGGTTTCTGTTTCTGTTTCTGCTTGATTATTATTATTATTATTGTTATTAATTGGTGATGAACAATCGAAACCTGTGTATTCTGAATTACATTTGCATGTACCCATTGTTTTATCGCATATTCCATGTTCATGTTATTTAGATGAACATTCTTTTTTTGTGGTATAATATGGATATATGTTACCACTCCATGTGATTGTATATTTTGTGTGAAATTGACTTTTATTGAACCAATATTACCTGTTCCGATTGTTGTTTTGATTTGATTCTGATGATAATATATTATATTTAATTTGACACCAATCGATTCTAAATATTTGATCCTTTAAGGAATTCTAGAATTTGCTGATCTTAAAAGTGTTTTTTAGTTGTATTATTTTTTTTTTTTTTTTTTTTTTATATTTTTTTTTTCTTTTTTTAATTTTCTTTTTTTAGACATAATTTTTAATTTTTTTCCATAATTCTAAAAGATGTAAAAAAATAAAATTGCCTAAAAAAGAAAGAAGGGTTATTGGTGGTTTTGGGGGACAATCTACCCATGCTCCAAGTTTTTCATTGAATATTTTAATTGTTGGTTTTCCAAAATTTCCCCCTTTAGATGGTGCACCTGTAAAATGGTATCTGGATTCTGGTGCAATAATTTTGGATAAGTGGATGAGGCAATGCGTGCGTTTGATTGTTGTGTTGGTTGTGGGGTAGCAATCGGAGTTTGAGTTGAGGCTGGAGTTGCATTTGTAATTGTAATTGAACTTGATAATGGAGCTTTTGAAATTGGTGTTATTATTGGTGTTGGTAGTTCCTGCTGTGGTGTTGATTGAACAAGATAAGGTGATGGTCTATAAAATAAATTTGATCCACCTACAAATTTATTTTTTGATTGTGGAGATTGTGATGGTTGTGTCGATGGTGCGCCAAATGATAATCCTAAATCTTCTTTTAGACGATTGTTTTCAATTTGGGATGTAAATTCTTGATGAATGTCTTTCTTTTCTTTTTCTTGTTGTTGCTTCAATGATTCCAGTTCTTCTTTTAGTAGATCGATGTCATTTTCATATTTAGCATTGTCGTATTGTTCATTTTGATCATTATTATTAAGAGAGTCTATTTGATCTATTATTTCTTTATTATCTTGATTTAATACTTTTTCAATTTGATTTAATAGTTCTTCTTTATCTCTATCTTGTTGTTTTAATGATTCTATTTGATCTTTTAATTGATTGTTTTCGAGATTTAGCTGATTAATTTGATCTTCGTTATTAGATTGAGCCAATTGTTCTTTTAATATTTCTATCTGATCTACTAATTCTTTATTTTGTTCATTTAATTTAAAAATTAACTTTTCTTGTTGGAATCTAGTTTGAAGGTTTTCCTCGATTTGATCTTTCATTTGAGCCAATGTTGGTGTAGACGAAGTGGATGGTGCGCTAAATGATGATGATTCTGGTCCTGGTTCTGGTGTAGTTGAGGTTGATGGTGCGCCAATTGGTGATTTTGTAGTTGTCGATGGTGTGCCAAATGGTGATGGTGTAGTTGAAGTTGATGGTGCACCAAATGGTGATGGGGAGCTTGTTCCGGTCAATGGTATTGAGAACAGTGTCGATCTTGGTGTAGAAGCGGCTTTTGATGGTGCATTAAATATTGATGCAGTTGCTGATGGGGATGTTTCCAAGCTTGAGGAATTTGTTGGGATTTTAAATGATGAGGCAATCGAGGTTGTTGTTGGATCACCGAATGGTGATGAAAATGCTGTGAATGTTCCCGAGATTGGTGCTGTAAAAGGATTGGATAATAAATTTGAAGATGAGGTTGTTGAAAAACTGGTACTTGTCAAATTACCAACTAAATTTACAGATGGTGCGCCAAATGGTGATGGTTCTGGTCCTGGTGATGGTGTTGTTGTGGTTTTTGGTGCGCCAAATGGTGATGGTGATGGTCCTGGTGATGGTGTAGTGGTGGTTTTTGGTGCACCAAATGGTGATGGTGATGGTCCTGGTGATGATGTAGTGGTGGTTTTTGGTGCTCCAAATGGTGATGTGGAGCTTTGTACCGGTCAATGGTATTGAGAATAGTGTCGATCTTGGTGTAGAAGCGGCTTTTGATGGTGCATTAAATATTGATGCAGTTGCTGATGGGGATGTTGCCAAACTTGAGGAATTTGTTGGGATATTGAATGATGAGGCAATCGAGGTTGTTGTAGCACCAAATGGTGATGATACTGCTGTGAATGTTCTCGAGAGTGGTGCTGTAAAAAGATTGGATAATAAATTTGAGGATGAGGTTGTTGAAAAACTGATACTTGTAGAATTACCAACTAAATTTACAGATGGTGCGCCAAATGGTGATGGTTCTGGTCCTAGTTCTGGTGATGATTTTGGTCCTGGTGATGGTGTTGTGATTTTTGGTGCGTCAAATGGTGATGGTTCTGGTGATGGTTCTGATAGTTCTGGTCCTGGTGTAGTGGCTTTTGGTGCGCCAAATGGATCTGGTTTTGGTGATGATTCTGGTCCTGGTTCTGATGTATTTGTGATTGATGGTGCCCCAAATGATGATGGTGTAGTGGTGGTTAATAGGGTTGTTTCCAAACAAGGTGAGGTTTTTCCGCCAAATATATTTGTTGTTGATTCTTTTTTATCTGTTGGATTACCAGATAAGTTAAAACTTGAAGATGAACTGGTTTCTGATTTGGTTGTTGTTGATAATGGTGTAGATGTTGAAACTTTTTGATATCTGTATGATGGAACAAAATTGTATGGGTATGGGGAGTTTGGAATTTTTGGTGAAATTGGAATTGGTTTTAGTATTGGTCCTGGTTTTGGTTGGGGTGGGGGATTTGATTTATAACGGTATGCGGGGGCAAAGTTACTTGGGTAGGGTGTTGATTGTGAATTTGGAAAAGCTTGTGGTTCTCCCATTTTAACTTTTTTTTTTTTTTTTTTTTTTTTAAGAAAAAATATACAAATAAAAAAATTAGATTTATTTACAAAAAAAAAAAATAAGATTATTTAATATTTTATAAAAAAAAAAATAAAAAAATAATTACCAAATGTAAATATATAAAATATGAATATATAATATATATAAAGATGTGTGTATAGGATGTGTGAAGAGGAATAAAATAAATAAATGTTGATTTGTGTATATATAAAATGCAATGAGTGTGAGTGAAGAGAAAAAAAAAAATTTATTAAAAAAAAAAATAAAATTAAAAAATTATAATTTATTAAAAAAAAATAAAAGATAATTAATATATTAGTTTTGAAATAAGCTATGAAAATCAATTAAAAATTAAAAAAAAAATTAAAAAATTAAAATTTTAATTTTTAATTTTTAAGAACAGTGTTTTTAATTTTTAATTTTTAAAAACAGTGTTTTAAACAAAACCAAATTTATTTTTTTAATTTCTTCAATAGATCATTATTGTAATTAATTATTAAAAAAAACAACAGGTCTTCTTTAAATAAAAATAAATAAAAAAAAAAAATGTATAACTAATCAAGCAATTACTATAAAAAAAATTTAATAAATAAAAATAAAAAAAAAAAACAAATTTAGGTCAAAATCATATGAATTTAAATGATTATAATGTTAATATAGTAAAATATTAAATAAATTTAAGTTATTATAAATTAATTAATTAATAATAATAAGTCAAATTATATTTATAAAATGGGATGAATTAATTATAATTATTTTTAATAAATTAAATTGTATACAATTATATTTTTTTTTTTTTTTATTTTTATTTTTTCTAAATAACAACTCAATTATAATGATGTATTTCATTCTTTAAAAAAAATAAATAAAATCACAAAAGTAAAAATATTGTAGTTGTAGTTGATGATGTTGATAATGAAATTGAAATTGATGTTGTTGTTGATGTTGATGTTGATGTGGTTGTTGTTGTTGGATTATATCTATATCCTCAAATAAACTATAATGGGTTGTTGGGGTGTGTTGTGGGTTTTGTGGGTGTTGTGGTGTTGTGGGTGTTGTGGTGTTGTGGGTGTTGGGTTTGTTGTTGTTGTTGTTGTTGTTGGGTTTGTTGTTGGGTTTGTTGTTGGGTTTGTTGTTGAGTTTGTTGGTCCATTTGATCATTATTATTGGTTGAAAGTTCGCAGTATAAAATAACAAAGACTGCAATAAAATAGAAAATTAAATCTATTAAAGAAAACATTTTATTTTATTATGATTGTAATAATTTGTTTCAGTAATGAAATTTAAAAATTGAAAAAAAAAAAATTCAAATAAATACAAAAATTACAATTTAAATTGTAATTTTTTTCTTGTGTAATAAAACTAATCTGTTTATTATAAAGTGTTTATTAAAATCTAAATTTAAATAGAATGTAAATATTTATTTTTTTTTCTTTTTTCTTTTAGATTTTTCACTTTTGCTACTGCTAAAATTGTCGGAGCTATGTTTACCAGAACCATATTCATCATCACTGTCATATGAAGATGTGTTGTAAACTGTACTTTTCTTTGATTTGTTTGATTTCTTATCGTCACTACTATCAACACTATCACTACTGTCAGTATCACCTCTCTTCTTTTCATCATTACCTATGGTTGCATTAATTAAATTATCTTCTAAAAATTGGTCAAAGTCAATGTATTCTAAATTGATATCTTTTAATTCTTTTCCAAACATTTTAGACTCTAAATCGTGTGCGTCAAAATGTTGTTTCTTTTCCTTTTTCTTTCTGATTTTCTTTAACTCGCTTTCGGTGAAATCTGAACCTGTTGTAAAACCATCTGTGGTTGATTGTTGTTGACTATTACGACGCTTATCATAATCATTAGTTTCATCGTGATGGGAATGGTGCTGTTGTTGTTGTTGCTGTGACTCTTGATGGTGTTCATCGTCAAAATCTAATCCTATACCACCATCATTTTCAAGTGCTTTCTTTTTAAATTGTGCTTTACTCTTTCTTTTATGTGGTTCGTCATCGGTAGAGTCATTTTCGATTTCTTTTTCAATAATTTCTTTTTCTAATTCCCTTTCAATTCGTTTAATTTTATTTTCTAATTTTTGTTTTTTCAATTTTAATAATTCTTTTTTATTTGATTTATAATGCTCTTCGGATTCTCTTATTTGAATATTGTGGTCATTTAGTTTTTTTAAACTCTTTCTTAATTCAATTTTTTCGGGTCTTTCGCTTGCCGATTCACTAGCTGATATTATTTTACCTGTATTGCCTGTTGCTGAAGTAGTAGTAGTAGTAGTTGTAGTGGTTTGTTGTGTTGGTTTATTATGAGTCAAATGTAATGGGTTTTCTTTTTGTAGTGTTTGTTCCCTTTGTAATTGGTGTAATCTTTGTTGTAATTGTGAGCTACTTAATTGATATTGTGAGTGCTGTTGTTGCTGTTGTACATGTGACTGATGTGGATATTTAGTATGATCAATTGGAGTTGGATTTGGAGTTGGATCAGTCGGAATAAATCTTTGTGATTGTCTTAATGAAAAAGGTGGTGGAGCAACCAAACCTTGAGATGATTTTAATGGTGTGGACATTGGTGGTGGTGGAATTGAATGTGAAGACTTTAATTGAGTAGATGGTGGAGGCTGAAATTGAGATGATGCCTTTAAATGAGTATGTTGTTGAGATGGTTTTAAGGGTGGTGTAATGGATTGTGATGATTTTAAAGGTGTTGGAGCTAAAACTTGGGAAGATCTTAATGAAGTATTTGGTGGAGTGATTGATTGTGACTGTTTTAGAGACAATGGAGGGGGAATTATTGCACCTTGAGATGATCTTAACGGGGTAGAGTTTGGTGGACCTAAATTTTGATTTGAATTAAAAGGAGTTGATGGAATTGGGGGTTGTGGGGGTACCAATCTTGAAGATGGTGTTTGAACTAATGTATTTAGGTTACTATCAACAGAGGGTGTTGTTGGGTTTGGTGGTGATATATTACCAATTTTATGTCTTGATGGTTCAAAAAATGAAATTTTATCTTTAATATCACTATTTTTTAGTTTTTCTTCTTTTTCTTCTTTATTAGTAATTTCTTCTTTTAATGGTAAAGTACTGATTGCTTTATTATTTGGTTTAATAAAGCTTGTTGTGGTCGAGTTTCTTAATGGAGTACCTGGAGGTGAAATAAGAAGTGGTTCTTTAATAGCTTCTTTAACTGTAGTGGACCCAAAATGTGGTGTAAAATCATTTAGTGTTTGATTTAATGGTGAAGTTCCCATACTAAATGATTTTTTAGAGAATAAAGATTTCTTTATTGGTGATGCAAAGTTACCAATGGTTTGGGTCGATGGTGAAACCATGTCATCACTAACAATACTTGGATATCTTCTAATTTTAGCAATAGATTGTCTTCTTTGTAACTTGGATGCTGAAACCGGTTGTTCTTCCTCAATATTATCAAGTAATAATTTATCGCTATCCTTTAAACCTTGAGGTTTTTCTTGTTTTTCAGTTTCATCATTTTTTTCTTGTTGCTCTTCTCTTTCTTTTTGTTGTTGGTATTCATTTCTAATCATTTCAATGACATCATTTGTAATGAATGGACTATCACCTGGTATAACTTGATCAATTGAAGATGTTGAGTTTGAATCAACATTTGAATGTATACTACCGCTGGTGTTATCAGTTTTCATTTTTTCCAACTGCTCTAATAAATAATCTTGAGGTCTTTCGAATGATTGTTGTAATTGATGTTGATTTTGAGAAAATTCATTATAATTTACAAAATTCTTCTTTAAAGTCTGTGGAGAGATTTTTTTCATTTTCTTTCTATCTAATGGTGGAGATCTTCTCATATCTAATGAACCCAAAGGTGATGAATGAATTGAATGGGGTGATTGTGAGTGCTCCTCAAAGCAAAATTTATCCATTGTATGTGTTGGACTATTATCTTTGAATGTATGACTATAAATTTTTTCTATTAAATTATTATCTCTTTTTAATTGTTCATCGTCGTTTTTAGGTTGACCTTCACCACCGTCGTTACCACCACTACCTCCACCAATAATTGGTTTATTACCATGACCACCATCCTGATCGCTGTCATCACTGTCGCTAACATCACTACCATCACCACCATCACTACCATCGTCGTTATGTCGATCTTTTCTTTTGAATTTTCTTTTTTTGAATCTTTCCATTAATTTCTTCTTTTTCTTCTTTTCATAATATTCTTCGTCATATTCTTCATCATAATCTGTAGAGTTGTAATGATGAGTAACTTTAAATCTCTTTCTAAACCTTTTTAAACTTTGATTTGAATGTTTCTTTCTCTTGGTATAAAAGAAATTATTTGTATAGTTTACTGCTTCAATTAAAAAGGCTACGACTAAATTTAATATGCAGATAACGCAAATAAAATAAAATGAACAAAAGTATAAGATTGCCCATGCACTTGTAACATCTATTGCTGCATAGAATGTAATTAGCCAATTATTAACTACCATTAAGTGGAATAAAGTAAATATTGCGCCAATAAATGTATTGAAATTTGAATAGTCGTAATAATTTAATTTGTCATAGTCTGTACCAATTAAATCCGGATTCCCTCTAACAAATTTACCATAAAAAGCCCAAACACCGATGACTGCATAAAAATAATATACTACTAGTACAATTCCAATAAAATTTAAAAATATAAATACTAATTGTGCCAATGATTGCATAAAGTGTCTCATTCTAAAATAAAAATAGTAAAAGATATTAATATAAATACTTTTAAAACTATTGATTGATGATTATTGCTTTTCTTACTTTCTTGTACTTGATAATAATCTTAATAGTCTTATGTAACGAAACGCACAGCAAATTCTTAAATATGTTAGATTACCTTCGACATAGGACTTTAGCGCAAATTCGAAAACAATTTTACCAATTAGAGATATTGTAACAATAACAACATTAAAGCCAATCCAAAATATCAATTTCTTACGATTTGCCAATACTTTTAAAAGAACTTCAGCAATTGAAATACCCAATAGAATATCATCACAAATAATGGACCATGCTGGGTGATAAAGATTTCTTGAGTGGACCATAACATAGGTGATAATTGCAGCATTAAAATATAATAATAACGATACAAAGAGTTCGAATAGCCAATGCTTTGTGATGATTTTTAAATTATAGTTTATAATAAAACCATATACATATTTTACATGTGAAATTTCCTTTGCATGTTTAGTATCGTGATGGTGGCGATGATGGTGACTTGATTGCTTTAACTCTTTAGTTGTAACTGAATCCTTTTTTAAATCTTTAAAACTTTTTCCATGCTCCAGTTTATCTTTTTCTTCTTCTTCCAACTCTTTTATAAAATTATAATCTTCTTCTTTACCACTTTCATGACCATCGAATTGAACATGTTGACTCTTATCTGCTTCATCTTCATTTTCTGGTAATGTCTGTTCATATGCCTGGTGTTGTTCTTCAAAATTACTGCCATCTTGATAAAGATATTCATTTTCATGATCCACTAAATTTTCTTCAATAAAATTATGGTTTTCTTCTTTATCCACCTCTTCTACATTATCATCTTTTTGCTCTTGGTTTTGTTTTTCTAAACTTATTATATCATTTTGTTTTGGTTGTATATCTGGTGAAGGTGTCTCACCAATTTCATTAATTGGAATTATAATATTATTATGACCAATTGAAACTGGTGATTGAATAAGGAAACTGCTATTATAATTATTAGTATTTGAAGTTTTATTTGTTATAAATTTTTGTTGAGATTTATTTGTATCATTATTATTATTATTAGTATTATTATAATTGATAAATGGTGAATTACCAATCGATATACAAGTTGCGTCAATATTATTTGGTGATTGTTGAGTAGCTGGCGATTTCATTAATATTGGTAAATGATCTTTATTATTATTGTTATTATTATTTATAGTATTTTCTTGAATGAAATAATCATCTGAACTTGATAAATTTAAATTACCTCCACCATGACATTCATCACTGTCATAAATACCTTCTTCTTGTTCTTGTAACTCTCGTTCCATATTCTCATTACTTTTATTTTCGTTTTGTTGATCAAAATATTCACTGGTGTCATATAATAGTTGTTGCTGCTGGTTCTGTAGCTGTTGTTCTTCATCTTGACTATATTCTCCTTGGTTGTCTTGCTGTTGATCATAATTTTGTTGTTCATCGTAATTTTGTTGTTCATCGTAATTTTGTTGCTGTTGGTCATAATTTTGTTGTTGTTGATCTTGATTATAGTATGGATATTGATTTTCATAAGCAACTTGATCATTAAAATCTAAATAATTACTATCTGTACCTTGATATAATCTTCTTAATCTATTTGGATTATTTTGATGATTCGGAAAAAAATGATGAGATTTTTGATGAAGGTGATGGTGGTGATGGTGATGATGATGATGGTCATCAGTATCGGCATTGGATGTAATGTTAGTTTCTTGACTCTCTCTTAATTTTGCTTCCTCTTTTTGTTGTTTTAATTTTTTCTTTAACAAATATTTTCTTTTCTTTTTTTCTCTTTTTAACCTTTTTTTTGCCAATTTTTGAACCTCTTTTCTACCTGTTACAAAAACATCACACATTGCAAAAAACTCTCTAACATTTAAGTAGCCATTATCATCAGTATCTACCAACTCGAAAGCAGCATTAGCTTCATGCATTGTTGACTTTGGCACAATTTCTTTATACATATCTACCCATTGATCTAAACTAATTACCCCAGATTTATCGTGATCCATAATAATAAATGCAGCCAACAAAGCAGTTCTTCTAGTACGAAAGTTATTTTTAGTTTCACCCAATACAGCTTTTCTAAAACTTTGATAAACTACGGCAATCATAAAATTTATGCCCAAGTATAGACCTAAAATTAAAAAAGCTATAAATATGATACTGTAATATTGATTTTTGAAGAAAGCGGGAAACATAATATCGGGGAAATTGCAAGTTGTAATGAGTACCATTGTGTTCTTGAATGAGGTTAATGTAGAGTTATAGTAGTCTTCGACACCAGTGAGATTATTTGAAAAAATAATTGTAAAAAGAATCGATGAAAAAAAGATATAGGTAAAAAATACAACACCCACTGGCAACATTTGAAATAGAGTATAAATTACTTGATGAAACAAATCTCTGGTTAATCGGTCATAGTCTATAATATAATAAATTCTTAGCAGCCGAGATATCCTAGCATCGGTAACTATTCCATTGGAAACCAGTATAAAACTAACAAGCAGGTCTATAAGATTTAAAAATAGAAACAAAGCTTTAACCCAATTCCATTTATTAAATTGAGCTGGTTTACCATATATATACCGCTTTAATGCCAGCTCTCCGCATAACACCAATACACAAGCCAATTCGATAAACTGGGTTCCATAGCCTCGGAGCGGATAATTTGTTGGATATTCGAAATATATTAAAATTAAATCTATCAAGATAACCAAGAATATAAAAAACCTTGTTATTGGATGGTAATAGTATCCATATATTTTTAATCGATCTAACATTAAGAGATGGTTGGGGTTTCTATAATGAATTGCGTCTTTGATTAATGCAACAGAAATAATTAAACGACGTTCTTTTTCTTGCTTTGTTAATTTTTTAACTGGTTCTGTTAGAGGTTGCTCTGATAAATCTGATGAATGTTCTTCTTCTTCCTCTGCTTCAGGTGGATAGGAGCGACTAAGCTGGTCCATTTCGTAACCTGATTCTTCTTGGTTATCTCCTTCAAGTGGCGACTCCTCACCCTCCTCTGATATTGTACTAAATGGTTTACCTTTTTTCAATATTGATTCAGGTTTTTTTTCAAGTGAAACTGCTGAAGGAGATTGGGATAACTGACCAAGCTTCTTTTCTTTTTCCTTTCCTTTCTTTTTCTTTTTCTTTTTCGATTGTTCAGTTTGGCTTTTGATCATTGTATGAGTTGGTGACGCTAATGGTTCGTGAAATAAATGATCCTCATTGAGTGTTGAATGGTCGAAGCTTACTCTTCTCTTATTAATAACTGCATCACCCATATGCTTTTTATTTTGTTCCAATGAATCCCTAAAATTTATAATATCCAATGGTGACTTGGGTGTATGTTTACCGACTAAAGATAGAGTTGATGTTCCTGAAGATGAGCCTGATGTATTTGAACTAGATGGCATTATTGGAGTTGGAAGAGATGATACTGACAATTGTTCTTTAGGTGGGTGAGGTTTTTTAGGAGGTAAAACACTTGAAGAAGGTGATTTTGTATTTTGTTGTCTTATGGTTGATGTTGGGGAAAAAGGTGGTTTTTTTGAAGATGTTATTGGCAAGGGGTGAGGTTGTTTGTTTTTAATACCTGGTGATTTATTTGGGACATTATTAACCCTTGATGGAGCCACTTTGTTTTTTATGGCACCTGGTTCTGTTTTTTCTAAAATTGAATCTAGATCTGGTCTATCATTAATTTGATATGTAAAACGATTGAGATTCTTATGCTTTGAAGAACTACCTATCGAAATGGTATCTTCAAAATCTAAAATATTTGATAATTCTTGATTGCTAAAACCCTTATCCTCTTTTTTCTTTTCTTGATTTTCTAGATTTTTAATTTGATTTGCTATCTGCTGTTGATCTTTCCGTTTCTTTTTTAATTCCTTTTTAATATTACTATTTATATCTATATTTTTATTCTTTTTGATATTAGACGGTCTTTTGACTCCGCTTACATTTATAGTACTTTCTTTAGTTGAATCTTTTTCATCGTCTGCATAATCCATTGGCTCCTCTTCCTCATTTTCTTGTTCGCTGCCTTTATCATAGGATTGATCAAATGAATCATATGAATCTTCTGATTCTTCAGATGAATTTTCTTCGTCATTGTCATTATCATCATCATAGGAGATTTCTGAATCGTTTGAATCACTTCCAGATGAAGAATCGTCTGAATCTTTATTTATATTATTTTTATTTATTATTTTTTTTGGTGTATTATTATTATATCTTATATCTTTATTTAGTTTTTTTAAATAATTATTGGTATTACTTAAAAAACTTTTATGACTATTTGTTGAAGGACTAGATTTATTATTACTCTTTATACTTTTAGGACTATAATTATTATTATTTATAGTATTATTTAAATTATTAATAGTTGGTGGTGTATTATTTTTATTACTGTTATTACTATTATTATCATTATTATTATTTGTATTATTTTCTCTGGGTGATAAATTACCGCTATTCCTTTTTAAATTTTCATCCCACATAATGTAAATATATTGATTTCTCTTTTTAAAATTCTAAACTAAAATAAAATAAATTAATATATATAAGTATAAAAATAAATATAAAAAAATTAATAAATCTAAATACTTCATAGTTTTAAAAGTTGGATATATATCATTATTATTTATAGTTTTATTTTATTAAAACAAATCGAATGTGTACTTTTTATAAATTATTATTAATTATACTAATTATTTAATATACTAATTATTTAAACAACGAAAAAAAAAAAAAAAAAAAAAAGGTAAAGAGATATATAATTTTAAAAGTGTGTGCGAGGGGTGGAAACATATAAAAAAAAAGCAATTAATTTTTAAATTTTATTTGTAGGGGGTAATTGTATTTGTGTGTATGGGTTATCATTGAATTCATTTTTATTTGTTGTGTGTGTTTGTAGATTATTTGTTTTTATTATTTTTGAAAATAAAATAAAGGTAGAAAAAAAAAAAAAAATTAATGAAAATTATTTTTTTAAAAAAAAAAAAAAAAAAAGAAAAATGGGGGGAAAAATTAAATCCAAATTAAATAAATTTTATTTAATTATTAATTTTTAAATATTTTGGTACAATTAATCTTGATCTCAAAGAATTTACTACAGTCGTACAAAATTTAGATTCCTCTAAAGTTAAATCTTGAATATAATCATTTAATTGCTTTAAAATGAAAAGGTTGTCTGAAATCAAAGAGTAAAAACTATTGATGGATGAATAGATGAATTGTTTATGGTAATCGTTGGAATGATCAATGTAAAACCTGAATAATTCTAAATTGTTATCTTTTAATGAATTGAAGAACGACTCTTTTGTGAATGGGAACCCTTTGCTAACCAAATACTCCACCATTGGTAAACTATTAATTTCTGTATTGTCTAGTACACCTCGGAAGATAAAGATATCATTCTCGTATAAAAACTTTATGAGCTGCAGGTTTTGGCTTGTTACTGTTTTAATTGAGATATTTTTGTGGCTCCAATTGAATTCATTTCTTTTGTTATTATATAGATGTATAAATAACTCGGTGTGGCAACATGCATAAACAGGCACTACTTTTTTTAAAAAGTAGATGTTGGGGTCGTCATCACCAAGATTGTATTTACTATTTCGCTTTGGTCTTGAACTTTGGTTGTTTAATGATAGTTTGTATTGGTTGCTTAAGAATGTGTTATTCAAATAGCTGTATTTATCTGGATATAAAAGATGGTCGATTAACTGGTACTCTTGATATTTGTTTATAAACTTGAATATAAATTTCAATAAAATGAGGTTGGTTTCTAATGAATTTTGGTTTAATAGATTGTAATAAATATAGTATCTTTTGACCTCTCTTTTAATATTGAAACTATTAAAATTTAATTTATCAAATGAAATGGTGGTGGTACATGATGATGAAAGTGTGGGTTGTTGAACAACTTTGAATAAACTTTTAAAATTTTTAATTAATCTATTATTACTGATATTATTACAACTGCTATTTAAACTATTAAAATAAATACTATTATTACCATTGCAATTAACATTGGCTGAATCAAAATTTAATATTTGAGTTAGGGTCGATTTGAATGATGGATTGTTTAGATTTAGATTTAAATTTAAATTTAGAAACTGCTTGAATGGTAGGTTATTGGAGAGATTTAATAACTCTAAGGGACTTTTAAAAGAGTCTATAGGTAGACAGCCATGCAACTGTTTGTAGAGAGTGTGGTCGATTTGCATTATTTTATAGAGTATGCAACTTTGAAGTTCAACGTGTATTTGGATCGTTTTGAAGTCCATTATATTGAAAAGGTATCGTAAGGTGTTTTCTCTGTTCTCTGAGATGCATGCATACTGGAGCGCATTCTTTCGGTCAAATTCTTTAAAGCTTAGTTTATTGAATAAATAATCGAGCAATTCGACATCACCGTTCATCAAGCACCAATCTACATATTTCGATTTTTTTAAGGGATCTAAAGTGCAATTGCAGTAATACCCATCCCATATGACTCTAAAGAACTGATAATTTGAATAAAATATAGACAACTCTAGTAAATCTAAATTCTGTACCTTGATTATATTAACGACCTGTGCTTCTTGTTGTAATTGCTGTAACCGATACAATGGCATCTGCTGTTGACGGATTTTTTTTAATTGTTGCTGTTGTTGGTGCTGGATAGTCTGGTTCTGATCTAAACTTTTTATTGGTATATCTTTAAACTGGCAAGTGTTCAAATACTTTCTATTAAAATAATAAAACTTTTTAAAAAGCTCATCAATCTCTTCTTTTGGGTATGATGATGCTGCTGCTGTTTCTAAAGTTGAGCTTTTTGATAAATCTATAATCAAATCTTTGAAACTTTCTTTTAAATCTTCTTCGCTAAAGTGTAATCTTGGGTTGTCATTGATAATCTCCCCAGTTTCGTAGTTAATATGTGTTTGTTTGAATAAATCTATTAAAACTGAATAGTATTTGTTTTCGACTATAAACTTGAACTCCATATCATAATAACCTCTAACCGGCAGCCTATCACTCTGCACATACCTCCTTCGATTGTACAGCGACACCAAATTCATCTCTCTCACCATTTCGAATATAATTTTAGATAAATATTTATTACCAAATATTTTTTTAAAATAATAATAATTGTTTAATATATTACTATTTTTCAAATTAATAATTTTTTTATTATTACAATTTATTTGATATACATTGTTGTTACTATTATTACTATATATAAAGTTATTCATTTTGTTATTATTATTATTACTATAAATAAAATAAAATGAAAAATTTTCACCACAGAGTGTGAATAAAAAAACAAAAAAAAAAAATTTTAAATTTAAAATAAAAAAATAAAAAAATTTAAATTTATAATAATTTTCTAAATTAAAAAAAAAATGATATATGGTATTAATTTCTTTATTTGATTAATCAAAAAAAATAAAAAAATAAAAAAATAAAAAGTTTTGTTAAGATGTGGGAAACCAATAAACACCATCTTTTTCAAAAAAAAAAAAAAAAAATTACGGTTTTTCCCAGGCCATCTTTTGATTAACAAATAGAGAAAAAAAAACCCAATAATTTTTTTAGAAAAAGGAAAAAAAAATAATAAATATGTATATGTTTAAAAAATGATTAAAAATATATTAAAATGAATATATGTATTTTTTTTTTTTTTTTGTGATAAATAGTTTTTTTTTTTTTTGTTTATTATATAATTGATTGGTTTTTTTAAAATAATTGAAACATTTGTTAAAGTTGTTCGATTGGGTTCAAAATTTGTCTACAATAAATTGAATCTTGTTTACAACCTGGACATTTTAAGTGGTATTGTTTTGAATGAATAGAGTTATTTGAGGATAAATGAGACTTTACTAAATCGGCCATAGCAGAGATGATTAATGGATCGTCATTAAGAGCTTCAGAACGTACTAATAATTTCATACCAGCTTTTTTAGCATGTTCTTGTAACTCGATATCAATTTCTGAGAGAGTTTCAATATGGTCAGAGGTGAAAGCAATTGGAATTACAATTGCATTACGTTTATTTTTGGCCAATTGATCGATAACAAAACTAGTTTTTGGTGATAACCAAGGTAATGGCCCGACTTTACTTTGCCATGCTAACATATATTCATATTTATCTTTACCTAAACTTTCCATAACTTTACAAACGGTTTCTGAAACCTCTTGTGGATATGGGTCGCCTTTTTCGACTGTTGACATTGGTAATGAGTGAGCTGAAAAAACTAATACTGGTTTATCGTTATTGTTGCTGCCGCTGCTACTATTACCGCTATTTTGTTCATTTAATTTATTATAATATTGTTTGATGGCTTTTTCTACTTTGTGTGTAGTTGCTTTAATGAAACCTTCATGATTTTGCCATCTATCGATAATAGACCATTTAAAATGACCTTTCATATCTTTCTCTTCGAGAGTTTTCCAAAGATTGTTTAAACTTGAACCGGTGGTTGTGCATGAAAATTGTGGGTATTGTGAGAATGCGATAACACGCTCTACGTCGTCATTTTTCATTTCATCTAATGTGTCTGCAATTAATGGGTCAGAGTAACGGAACCCAATATAGTGCTTGTGTGGTGCTGTCTCTGGCGATATTTCATCTAATAATTTCGATAGTTTTTCACCTTGTAAATCTGTCCATTTACGGATTGGACTTCCTCCACCTATCGATGCATATAATTTTCTAACTGTTGGTGCTCTTCTTTTTGCGATTAATGTACCTGTATATTGTTGAAATGGTAATTTAAAAATTTCTTTATCTGTGAATAATCTTGTTAAAAATGGTTCTACTTCATTTAAATTTGATGGACCACCTAAATTTAACATTAAAATGCCAGTTTTAATCTTTTTATTATTATTATTATTATTATTTGATGTATAATATCTTTTTATTAATTGTAAATAACAATTTTTTAATTCATTATTTATTTTACTATTATATATTATTTTATTTGATAACATTCCCAAAAAAAAAAAAAAAACAATATATTTTATTTATTGGTGCGAGAGGGGTGTGAATATGGGTTTGTGTATTTTATGGGGGAAATTTTTTATTTATTTATTTTTTTATTAATTTTCTATCAAATATTTTATTTTTTAAAATTATAAAAAAATCTAAATTTATTTTTATTCTAAAATTTGTTTTAGTTTTCACTACCAACGATAGATTAAAAAATTAAATAATAATAATAATGAAATGAAAAATAATTTAATATTTTAGAAAAAAAAAAAAATAAAAAAAAAAAAAAAAATTAAAATAAAAAAACAAAAAAAATAAAAAAATAAAAATAAAAAAAATAAAAAATCATTGACAACATTTTTATTTAAAAAAACCAAAAATAATTTTTATGTGTGTAGTTTTTTAATTTTTTTGGTGTTGCTTAAAATGAACGAATATGTTCATACCCCACACAGAAAGAAAGTTTCTTTTAAATTTCAGGCATAAAATATAATGATTCCATCATTGACCGCGCTATGCACACAACACCTTATAAAATATAAATCTAGTGATTATAACTAAAACTATTTTAATTTTATTTTAGTTTTTTTTTTTTTATTTAATTTTTTTTTTATTTAATTTTTTTTTTTTTTTAAAAACATTTTAAAAATTTTTTTTAAATTATTTTTATCTTCATATTTCACACACATATATAAAAATACATACATACACAAAAACAGTAATAACATTTCATATTGTATAATATTATTGTAATACCTATATTTTGAAATAATGACAGTAGATACTTTGGAAATTAAAAAAGGATTTGAATATATTCAAGATGAAATTTGTAAATTTTTAATTGAAACTACAGGTGGTAAACAAGTTTATCTCGAAGATAATTGGCAGTATCATAAGGGTAGTGGTGGTGGTAGATCAAGAGTATGGGAGGGCAATAATGAAGAGGGATTTTACGAGAATGGGACCGATTTAAAACAATTTGAAAAGATTGAAAAAGGAGGTGTTAATTTTTCATATATTGTAGGTAGCAATTTACCATCAGCTGCAGCAACCCAATTCAAAATTTCACCAGATACTCAATACATTGCAACTGGTGTTAGTTTAGTTATACATCCATACAATCCAAATGTTCCAACCATTCATATGAACGTTAGATACTTTGAGGCCGGTTCAACATGGTGGTTTGGCGGTGGTGTCGATTTGACCCCAGTCTATCCACGTTTAGAGCAAGTAAAGCAATTCCATCAAACTTTAAAGAACGTCTGCGACAAATACGGTGATGAAAAATTCAAAACATCATACGCCCTTGGCAAAGCAGAATGCGACACCTATTTCTATCTTCCACACAGAGGCGAAACCCGTGGTATTGGTGGTCTTTTCTACGATCACTTAAAGAGCGACAACCCAGAAGATAAAGCTGCCATTTGGAAATTCATCTATCAATTAGGTTTATCATTCATCGACCTTTACAAACCATTTTTAGTAGACAACTCTGATTTAACCTACACCAAAATACAAAGAGAGTACCAACTTTACCGTCGTTCACGTTATGTAGAGTTCAACTTACTCTTTGATAGAGGCACTAAATTTGGTATCATGTCTGAAGGCAGAACCGAATCTATTTTAATGTCATTACCAGCCGTTGCAAAGTGGAAATATAACTATACACCAGAACCAAATACCAAAGAAGCAGAATTATTAACTTTCCTCAAACCAAGAGATTGGTTAAATGAATAATAATAATAATAATAATATAATATAATTTTAATCTAAAATAAAAAAACAACCACAAAATAAAAATCTAAATTGTAAAGTTTCAAATATTTAATTTTTTATTAATAATGTATTAAAAAAAAATAATAAAAATAAACAAATAAAAAAAATTGTATAAAAAAATATTTTAAATTTTATTTAGATATTTTTTATAAAGTGTGACCAGTTAATAAAAACTGATCCATAAATCTGGCTGTGAGGGCCATGTAATCCTAATTCGCCTCGGTGTCGGGAGCCTGTCGCTCCCACATGATCTTCCCAAAATCCTAACTCGCTTCGGAGTAGGTTTTGTCAGTGAGTTATTAGCTCTCTGGAAATCTCTGCATGGGTCCTCCTATTGGAGGATTTATCAAGAATTTGTTTTCGTTTGTTCCATATTTAACATTCAACTATTGGGTTTATAGATTTTAGATTTTAGTATCTAAAAACCATAACCTTGTTCAGTTGAAAAGTTTAAATTTTGGACGCGGCGGGCGGGGTGGTTGTAAGCTTAAGCACATGTTTAATAATTAGGTAATTATATAACAATATTATCTATAGGGATTAGTTTTAATAAAAAATACTATTAATATTTTATTTAATAATAATACAATATTATATTTTATACCTACATATAAAAATTTTAAAGATATAAAATTTTTAAGTTTGTTTTGTGAAAAATCTTACAAAAATAAAAAAAAAAAAATTTTTTTTTTTTTTAAATTCAAAAAAAAATGAAAAAAAAAAAAAAAAACACTTGAAAAATTTCTAAATTTTTTTTGTATAACGTAACCTATTTTTTATCATAACTATAAACGAAGTTCCTCAAATTAATCCTTTGATAATAAAACATATTGTAATAAAAGCAATACTAAAATTTTGGTGTATTTTATTATTATTTATTTAGAATTATAATAAAAAAGAGATATAAAAGTAAAATATAATTGCTTTAGATTAAACAAACAATATATATTTATATATTTAAAAAAAAAAAAAAAAAGATCAATATTTTTTAGCTTTAAAGTTTACATTTGATTAATAATACTTGATATTTATTTTTTTATTTTTTTATTTTTTTTTATTTTTTATTTTTTGTGGGATAAATTTATTGTTGTTTAACATGATCAATTTTTTCGACTTTAACTTGACCATCAATTAATTTGTAAATATAAACTGTAATATTATTGCTTTGAACATCCATTAAAACAAATGATGGAATAACATCGCTGTAATAGTTGATAAATAATTTAAATTTTAAATATTAGTATGTGATAGATTTTTAGTTGATAACACAATAACAATAATTAATATGTTGGCTTACTTTGAAATATTACTGAAAGCACCAGTAGCTGAACCTGGATTAACAAAAAGTTTACCATTAGCTTCGAAAACTTCAAGTTTGTGAGTGTGACCAGTGATGAGAACATCAACGTCTAATTGTCTTTGTAAAGCAGCTAATGATGATTTATCGCCCCATGGAACAATTTGATGACCATGGCAAAGTCCAAATTTAAATTGACCAATGTTTACAACTTTAGTGTCTGGATAGCTTGTATTCTATTTTATAAAATTAGAATTAATAACCATTTTCATAAAATTTTTCTAATAATGTTTCCAAATTCTATATATTATTATTATTATTATTATTTAAATTATTATAGTATTATTTGCTAATTATGCTATATTATATGCTATCCTGGTGTGCTGTTATGTTATGCTGATATGCTGTATTATCATAATCACCAAATTATTATAACAACCACTTTTTGAATCCATAGCTCTTATAATTTCCATTTAATTTTCATTGCATTTATTATATCTAACCTAAAATATCTTAAATATTATTGTAAAAACATAAACTTACTTCATCTAAATCACCTTTGACAATATGAACATCACAAGTTAAAACTTTGAAATAATCGTGAATTTCTTTTGAAACTAAATTACCAGTTGATAAGATATGCTTTGATTAAAAAATAAAGAAAAACTTTAATATACAAAATCTTTAAATTGTATCATTATATTACTGTGATTAACTTTTTAATACTAATGAATGACTTACTTGAATTTTTTCTGGAACTAAAAGTTTCTTGAATTCTGGTGGAATACCATGTGATCTGTGTGGAACGTGAATATCACCAATAGCAATAATGAACTATATAAATAAAAGTTAAATGAAACCATCAATTAATATATTAGTTTTTAATTTATTGTTCTTTTGATTAATTAAATTAATACCATTTTATATCAAATATATATAAGAAAATAGATTATTATAAAATAAATTAAAAAAAAAAAAAAAAAAAAATACACGCTTATAAAAATTAAAATTTTAAAAAAAATAAAATATTTTTAAAAAAAAAAAAAATTAAAAAAACTTTTCTTTTTTTTTTTTTTTTATTTTTTTTATTTTTTTTATTTTTTTATATTTAATTTATTTTTGATATGCAATAAACTATCACCATTTAATCGTTTTCCTTTTTTTATGGGTAGAAAAAAAAAAAGAAGAGAAAAATAGAGACCATAATGGAAACTGCATGTTATCCACAATCTTTTTACAAAATTAATAACATCCCCATTGTGGTTATTCTCTATCATCTACCACTAAACATGACTTAGTTGTAAGGCAACAAGAGTTGTAGAAAATGATACTACCAATGCTGTTCAAGAATATAAAAACTATAATATAGAAGCCAATGAGCACTTTAGTCTTCCAAAACAACCAAGGGTGGTAAAGAAATTTTTCTTTTGAAATACCACCCAATGTAACAAAATCCAAGCCCCTTTAAAGAAGGTTGAACTCCAGAAATCAAAATTAGTATATTATTTGATATATAAGGGAGGGGAATCCATATGAATAACACTATTAAACTCCACTCTATACTTCATTCCCAGCCCCGTTGGTTTAATTAATCCATAGAAAACTCCTCAAAGTGAGTTATTTTAATAATAATCAAAATCATTTTACAAATAAAATAAAATAAAATAAAATAAAATAAAATAAAATAAAATTATTTTTTGTAATTAATTTTATAGTTTATATTTTCATTTAAAATAATCTATTATTAGTTATATTCGAACATATTTTCTTTATTTGATTGTTTTTGGGTAGTATAATTTATTATAAAATAATAATATTTATTCGGTTATAAAAAAAATAATTTATTTTTCAATTTGTATTGGGTTGTTTCAAAAACTTAATTTTTTTAATTAATTTTTTGTGAACATTTACTTCTCAAAAATTTCAAAAAATAAAATAACTAAATTTTAGTTTATATTTTTTATTTATTTTATTTAAATAAAATAAAATATTTTAAAACTTAGAAAAGAAAAAAAGTATAAATTTTCTTTATTTTTAATATATTTAAAGGAACATTATAAATACAAATATTCAATCAAAACAATTAGTTCTCTTTAACTCAAATCTCATTTCACATATCTTTCCTTTTTTTAAATATATTTATAAATAATTTTATCAAATTTTAATTTTTAGATAAATTTATATATCTTTTTTTTTTTACATTCTAAAAATCAATTATTGAATTGAATATTTTAATGACATAAAATGTTTAAAAAGTATTCCTAAAAACTCAGGAGAGTAAAATTTTTTTAATTTTTAAAATATATATATTTTTTTTTTTTTTAAATTTTCATAATAGTGTTTATATAAAAATAATGGATAACAATCAAGATTCAAATATTCGTAAGTAATAATATATAATATAATTTTAAAAAAAATTTTTAAATTATTAATTATTTTTATAATCAAAGTTAGATTGGTGGTTTCAAGTGTCTCAATCAATTTAATACATTGTTTGAATAACAAATACGACAAAAATAAAGAAAAAATTCTTCAAAGGCAACAAGATCCTAGTGTACAATCAGAGTATTAAGAAAATACCGTAAAGCCAAGAAAATCGACACGTTAGCCGTGAATTATATTTAGGAGTCAATGATAAGTCCTCAAGAACAGACGTTCCTTAATTGAGTACATTGCAATGAAGAAATACTCGGAAAAACACTTCCAAGATGAAAGCTCAGGCCTGTAGAAACAAGAACAAATCACTCAAAGAAAGACCTGACGCAAAATCTGTTGCTAAAGAAGTTGCCATCAACTAAGTTCATACTTAATAAATGCCAAGTAACTTTAAAAATAAATAAAATATTAAAAAAAAAAAAAACCTAAAAAAATAATTTAATAAACTTTGATAAATAAATATTCAAATTTAAAAAAAAAAATAAATATAAAAAAATTTGGATTTAAAACAATAAATTAAAAAAATTTGGATTTCTAAAAACAATAAATTAAAAAAGTTGTTTTTTTTTTTAAATAAATAAAACATTAATATTTTTACAAATTTATTTTTGTTTTTTTAATAACTTTAAAAAAATATGGATTTAAAATATCCATATTTTTTTAAAGAAATTCGTTAGCTTCTTCGTTAAATTGAGTTTCTAAATATTCATTATCGAGTAATGGTTTTAATAATTGATTTTTATTGTATTGAACTGATGGGTCAAAGTCATCCACCATTTCTAGATTTCTTCCACGACCTGTTAATTTTCTAAACACATCACCCCAATCTTCACGAAGTAATTGATATAAAAATATAGCTGAAAAGGTTGAGCAACCAATACCATCAATTTTAATAGTACCAAATTGAACCACTACATTAACCATACCACTACCCAATACGACTGAAACACCTGCAGTTAAAAGATTTCTTGGTTTTGTGAAATCAACATTATCGGTAATCCATAATTTTGCACCAGTTAAAGCAGTGATACCAAAGAGTACAATAGATAAACCACCAAAGGTACCTTCTGGAATAGTTGCAACGATCTTACCAAACATGGGTAACAAACCTAAAATGATTGCAAAAAGTGCAGCAAAGAGAAAAGAAAGAGTAGAGTAGATTTTGGTGATACTCATAACACCAATATTTTCAGCATATGTAGTGGTACCGGTACTACCACAAAGTCCTGCAATAATGCATGCTATGGAATCACCAAGAAATGCTCTACCTAAAAGATGATCTACACTATTTCCAGTCATTGAACCAACTGCTTTTAAATGACCAATGTTCTCTGCTGCTAGAATAATTGCAACTGGTGCAATTAATGATATATAGGATCCACTAAACTCTGGGAGTACGGTAGGTGGTAAACCTATCCACTTTGTATCTTTAACTCCACTAAAATCTATACCTGGTCCAACATTTGCCAATCCACAGAAAAGGTAAATAAGATATGATGTAAGGCCTCCAATTAAGATTGGTAATCTTCTTAATGGTCCTGGTGCATAACATGTAACCAAAACAACCACCATTACAGTTACGAATGCCATCCATGCATCAAAAGCAGATGAACTTGCTTGTGCAATTGCTGAACTTGCGAGATTAAGACCAATTGAAATAATTACTGAACCTGTCACTACTGGGGGTGTTAAATACTCTAACCATTTATAACCTACCAATATAACAATCATTGAAATACCTAAATAAGCGAAACCGCAAACCATAACACCACCTGATGCTAATGCAATATGTGGATTTGGTCCTGCACCTGGTGTGTAAACATATCCTGACGCTGTTGTGATTGCGCCAATAAATGCAAAACTAAATATTTAAATTATAATTAGAACCAACCCAAACAATAATATATACATATGTAAATAACAATTTTTGCATACCTTGATCCGAGATATGATGGAACTTTTCCACCTGTACAAATATAAAATATAATAGTTCCAATACCCGAAAAAAATAAAGCTGAATTAACTGGAAACCCCTAAAAAAAATATTATTAATATTATATTTATATGTAAATTAAATATTTTACATATCGGCCTTACCATTAATATTGGACAGAGAACGTTACTACCAAACATAGCAAGTACATGTTGAAATGAAAGTAATAATGTTGGTACTATTGGTATTCTTTCATCTGGCATAATATGCTCAGAGCTTACCTCCTTCAGTGAATATGATGGAAAATAATTTTTAATTGATGTAATTAATTCATCTTTACTGCTTGGAAATAATTTTAAAACCATATTTGTTATCTGTATCAATTATAGCATAAAATCAATACTAGTATAACAAGTGTGAAACTACACTTTTTTTTTTTAATACGCGGTCTAAAAAATGTTTAATTCGTTTTTTAACATTGCGAGCAAAAAAAAATATTGATTTTTTGGGTAACCGCAGTTTTTAATTATTTTTTTCAAAAAAATTTTTATTATATTTTATTTAGTTTTATTTTATTTAAAAAAAATCGAAATCAAATTTTAGAAACCATTTTTTTTAATAAACAAAAACAAATATTTTTTTATAAAAAAACAAAATAACTTTTTAAATATTTAATAATAACAGTAATATGAAAAATTTTTTTTTTTTTTTTTTTTTTTTTTTTTTTTTAAACACAACCATAAAAAAAAAAAAAAATTTTGGGTTTTGAAACTGTTATAAAATTAATTAATCATATAACCATTGTAATAGTGGTTTGTTATTCGCGAATGATATGATTATTATACACACAAGTGTTTTATTAAACAACAAAAAAAAAAAAACAACATTAAAAAACAACAACCATTATAACCTCTTTTTTTTTGTTTATTTATTAATTAATATAAAGTTTTATTTAATATAAAAATAAAAAAGAAAAAAAAAAAAAATCTCATCGTTCTCTATCAAGATTTGAATCTATATAGTTTTGTTTTATTTATTAATAAATAAGTTAAAAAATTAAAAATAAAAAAAAAATTACACTGTGATGTAGAAAAGAGGGCCTATTGACGTTTTTAAGAGTTTTTTTTTTTTTTTTTTATTCTCAACCCAGCAAATTTATTAAGGAGGGCAGAAAAAATAAAGAAAAATAAAAAAAAAAAATAAAAAAGATGATTTGTCTCTTAAAGAATTGAGGTTTCAATGTTGTAATTGAGAGAGAAATTTAGTATTTCAAAAAAAAAAAAAAAAAAAAAAAAAATTTTCATTGTTAAAAAACTCCACACAAATCAAAAAAAAAAAAAAAAACCCTCTATATAATCTTGCAATTATGACACAGCTTTTTTTTTTTTTTGATTGTTATATTAATGTAATGATTATAATTTACATTTAAAAAAAAAAAAAAAAAAGTTTTTTTTTTTAATTTTTATTTTTTATTTTTTTTAAAATAATTATCATTGATGTTTTTACGACAAGAAATTTTTTTTTTTTAGGTAAAGCAGATATTTTTTAAATTTTGACGATTCATGCCCGATTTCGCGCAGTATTAAACTCTTATCTAGATAATGATATTTTTTTCCTCATACAATCTTATTTTTGATTATTTTATAGGGTATGTGTGTGTTGTGGTGTTGTCTCATACTAATTATTTAATTTTTTTCTTTTAATTTTTATTTATTTTTTTTTTTTTAAACTCTAAACACAACAACAACAACAATAAAAAAAAAAAAATTTTATAGTTTTTTCTTTTTATTTTATGTATATAAATCAAATAAATAATTTTATATATTAAAATATTATCAAACATATAATCAAAAATTTCAAATATTATTTTTCATTGAATAATAAATTTCAAATTAAATTAAATTTTTATTTTTTAATTTAATTCATACACACACCACAAACAAACACACACTCAATATACAATACACATCACACACACTTTTATAACTATTTCGTATATTCATCTATATAAGTTTCATGTTTATATAAATATATATATTAAAAAAATTTTAAGATAAACGATTTTTACAACCTAATATATAAAAACATTTTTAAAAAAAAAAAATTTTCAAAATTTAAATAATTATTTTTTTAATTTTTATTTTAAATTTTAATAATCACTATTTCAAATAAATTATCTTTAACCTTTTTTTTACTGCAACAAAAACAAAACCTTACATTATATTACATCAATATAAAGTTTATAAATATCACCCACACATTTGTCAAAAAATTTTAAAAAATAAAAAATAAAAAATCTTTTTTTTTTTTTTTTTCTTTATTGATTGTATTTTCATACTTTTCATATAATTTAAACAAAGAAAACACTTCACATTCATACTTTTATAAATAAAATCACAAAAAAAAATATTTTAAGTATTTAAACATATCAATTTTAATAATAATAATAAAATTTTTTTTCACCCAATAATTTAATAATAAAAAAATAATCCTACAATTATATAATAAATCACCATCCAATATATATAATATTTTTTTTTTATACATAATAAAAAATATTAAATAACATCCCTTTGTAAATAATAAAAACAAATAAAATAAAATAAAATAAAAAAATAAATTTAAAAATGCTTACACAAGAGGAACATAGAGAAGCATGCAGAGTTTATATGCAAAAGTATAGAAGTAAACCCGAAAATAGAGAGAAAATAAGACAACAAAATGCTGAATATAGAAAAAGAAAAAAGCAAGAGTCAATTAGACAAGTCAGTGAAATTGGATCATTAGAATCAACCATTGATTCATTAAGAAGAAGAGTTATGGAATTAGAAGAGAGTTTGAGTCTTTCAAATTTCAATATTTCAGTATATGAAAAAGAAAAAATTATTCCAAAAAGTTATATGGATACCATTTCAAACTTAAAAGCCCAATTATCACAATCCTTTGAAGAGCTCGACGAAAAAGATATAATAATATCCAATTTACAACAACAATCACAACAACAACAATTACAAATACAACAATTACAACAACAACAATTACAAATACAACAACAACAACAACAACAATTACAACAACAACAACAACAACAACAACAACAACAACAACAATCAGTTTCTCCATCAATTCCAATTTTACAAAAACAACAATCATTTAATTTAGATTTAAATAAAGCAAATTTATCGTCGGCATCATCTTCCCCATCTTTACCATCAACCCCAACTTCTTCCTATGCACAATCAATCCTATCAAATAAAAAACAAAAAATTATTCAAGACTCTTTTTCAAATAATTCATCGCCACCATCATCACCATCATTACAATATACTCCATATTCGCCAGTTTTACCAAGTTCTTTAATTTTATCACCATCAGTCTCACCAACCCCAACCCATAATCTTAGTACTGGCAATCTCGCCTCTTTGGTACCAAACGAAGAAAACTCCAGCGGTAGCAGTAGCAGCTCAAGCCCACTTTACAAATCAAATCCAACTTTTAATTTAGATTTACTCTGTGACGTCTTACAAAATGAAAGAGCCCTTCAATTAAACTCTGAACAACAACAACCACAAGCTATCAGTGACAAAAGAAAGTCCGGTGATTTTAAAACAAGTATAGATTTCGTTTTAAATGATGGCCAACAACAAAAATAATTAAAATAATAATATAATAATAATATAATGATAATATAAAAAATTAATAATTAAAATTTAATAATTAATATAATGATAAAGAAATAATTTAAAAATTAACAATTAATAATAATTAATTCAATTTAAAATAACAACATACTTAACCTACCAATTAAATTTAAACAAAACAAAAAAACAAAAATAATAAATTATTTGGTTTGATTCCATTTTCTTTTTTTTTTATAAACAAAATGTTTTTTATTTTTTTAAAATTTTTTTTTTTTTTTATTCACAATTCAAAATAATATAATATTCTTTCATTGTGTCTCACCAAAATAGTTTTGTGTATCTATTTATTGAAAAAGATAATAATAACTTTAATGATTTAAAATTTCAATTGGGATGATTTTTTTTTTTTTTTATATTATTTTTACAAAATTTTACTTTTATTTAATATTAAATAATTAAATAAAATAGATAAATATTTTTATTAGGTTTTTTTTATTGGTTTTTTTTTTTTTGAAAATTTAAACGTGTGAAACTGATTCAGTGACTAATTTGTTATCACGAACGATAGTTTTGAATTGTTCTGGAATGGCAATTTCAACTAAATCGTCATTTGGAGTGGCACCTGGAATTAAAACATTCATTTCTGATGATTTGGATGAAACGATTTCAGTATCTAATGAGGTAGCTGAGAGATAAACTTGAGCACCACTGGTTTTATCGATGGCAACGGATGGAACACGACCAGTAACTTGGATTTCAATTGAGGTACAGTTTACAACTTCACATGATGAAATAGCATTTTCGAAAACAATAGCAGTTTTTTTGCAACCATCGAGGGTGATGGCATTAACTTTACCTTTGATTTGAACGACAGTGTTGACACATTGGTAAATGTAAACGGTTTGACGTGAGTCAGTTTCAGAAATGATGATTTCTTTGTTGTTAACTTGATATTCAACACACCATTTGTTGCCTTCAAGACCGAATTTTGGTGGTTTGGCTGGGGCAACAACTTTTTCTTGTTTGCTTGAAGCTTTGACAACTGATGATTTATCGGTAAAGTTTTTAGATTTCATGTCGTTGGTGACTTTCTTTAAACCAGCAGTGACACCTTCACCTTTACCAATTTGTGAGAAGACAGCGTTCATATCAGCACCTTTCTTTTCTGGTTCAGCTTTGAAAACTGGTGGTGGTGGTGGTGGACCGCCAGCAGATGGGGCTGGAGCAGCTGGGGCAGCTGGAGCTGGAGCGGCTGATTTAGCATCACCACCTTTTGGATTCCAGGTTAAACCAGTAGTATGGTATTGTTTAATGTATTTTTCGAGATCCTTGAGGAAAGCAATGTAATGTTGAACCCAATCAACTTGATCTTGGTTGACACCTTTGAATTCTTTTAAGATACGATTGGTATAGAATTCAGCTGAACCTCTCATTTCAGCGACATGTGGAGCTGGAGTTGGTTCAACAACAACCCAACTTAAAAGACCAACACTTTCTGAAAGAGCTGAGAGATTGTTAAAGAATTTGGATGATCTATTTGAATCACGAATTTGACCAACTTGTTGGGCAAAGTTGTTGACTGGTTTAATTAATTCCATTAAAACATCTTGTGATGGTTTTTTGCTTTGTGAGGCAGTATTGATTAAATTCTTTTCGGCTTCGAGGGCTTTAACTAATTCTTCAACTTGTTTAACGACTTCTGGTGCAAGTTTCTTTGAAATAGCAACGAATGGAGTAATATGTTGATCGATTAAGTTTTGGAATTCTTTAACAGCGGCAGCTGATGGAGCAGAACCGGCTGAGACTGAACCACCTGAAGCTGGAGCTGATGAAGCAGCTGTGGCTAAAGCTTTTTCGAGTGACTCTAAACGAGTTGTAGCAGCTTCAAGTCTCTTTAATAATTCAGCAACTGTTGCGTCTGATGACATATTCATAATTGATTTTTAATTTATATATAATATACAACAAGAGGTTTTTTAAAAAATATTTGGTTTTAATTTAAAAAAAAAATAATATTTTGAATTCTATAAAAATATAAAAAAAAAATAAAAAAATAAAAAAATAAAAGAAAAAAAATTAGTAAATTACTTTTTTTTTTTTTATTTTAATTAAAATTTTATAATAAATTATATATATAATCATTGATTATTAATGATTATTGATTATTGATTACTGATTACTGATTATTATATTATTGTAATATTATTATTATATTTTATAAAACTATGAAAAAAGATTTTACAATTTCCATTGTAAAAAATAATTTTTATTTTAATTAAATTTATTTTATTTTAATTTAATTAAATACTAAATGTTTTTCAATTAATATTATCCAATTTAATTTTATTTTATATTATTTTATTTTTTCTAATAAAATATTACTTATTTATATTTGCAGATTAAAACTATAAAATAAAAATATAAACTATAATTTACTTAAAAAAAAAGTATTTAAATAGAGATAAATTTTTTATGTGTGTGAAAAAATATACATACAATATTTTTTTTTTTTTTTCAAATAATAATACAAAAAATGAAAAATAAAAAAAAAAAAAATTTTAATTTTTATCCTCCCAAAGTAGATAATGTGAAATTATTTTTTTTTTTTTTTTTTCAACAATAAATGAAAAATAATTAAAAAAGTATGGGTTTAGTGGTGGCTTTCATTAAAATAAAATCTTTTTGTTTTTTTTTTTTAAATAATTTATTTTTTAAATTATTTTTTTATATGAGAGAACTAATTATAGTTTTTATTTTTTTTTTTTTTGCGGTATGAAATTATTGTTTATTTCTAATTATAATTTAATAAAATTATAGTTATTTATTATTTCTTGTTTGTGTATTCGAATTTTTTTTTTTTTAAATGATTATACCACACCCACACAAAAAAAAAATTGAAATGAAATCCAAAAAAAATTTTTGGGATGAAATAAAATAATAATTTGGGTAATAAATAAATAATATGTCTTTATTTTGGGTTTATATCTAGATAAATAATTTTAATATTCCAATAAAATTAACATTAAATTCTTAAAAATAAAAAATAAATATACTGATTCCGATTGAATTATATTTCTTTTTTTTTTTTTGTTTTTTTGTTTTGTTTTATCTTTGTATTTGTTTATATTTTTGTGTTTAATGTTTTGTGTTATTTTTTTTTTTATTTTTTTTTTTTTTTATTTTTTATTTTTTTTTTTTTGCATACAAAAAAGAAATAAACAAATAAAATTTAAACAAATAAATAAATAAAATATAAATAAAAAATAAAATATTATTATTTTTATTTTATATATTTAAATTAAAATTCATTAGTTTTTTTTCATTTCAAATTGATCACATATTTGAGAACTCTTCATATAAAATGATACTATCTGAACTTCTATTACACTCTTTCAAGTCTTTTAATGAGTAAATTTTTTTCATATGACGAAAAAATTTTGTTTTTTTTTTTTTATTTTTTTTTTTATTTTCTATTTTTTTTTTTATTTTTTTTTTATTTTTTTTTAAATTTTTATTTTTTTTTTTTTGATCATTCATTCAACTTTATAGTAATATTGTATATATATTATTAAAAAGAATGTCAAACATCACTAGATTATTTGCAACTTCAACTAAACAATTTTCTGGAGGTTCTTCAAAAAAACATTATGATAAATAACCTTAAATCATAAAAAAATTAAAATAAATAATAAAATAAATAATAAAATAAAATAAAATAAGAGAGAGAGAAAAAAAAAAAAAAAAAAAAACACACACAATTTTTTTATTTTTAATAAACTCATAGCAAAAAAGCAAAGCAAGGACCCCCTTTCAAATTCATAATTTTACCCAAGAATCAAATAAACTTGGGATTTAAAACCGATAAAATTTTTTCCAAATTGGAAGAAACGGAAAAAAAAAAAGGATTTATTTTATTTAAAGGTAATAAAAAAAATAAGGGTAATGGTAATAATATCACCAAATATTAAAAACCAATGGTGGGTAATAAATAATAAAAAAATACCCCCCTAAAAAAAATTTCCTTAATTACTCTAGACGGAAATAGGTAAAATGGGATAAATTAAATATTAAGTTTAAAATAAAATAAAATTTTTATTTTAAAATTTTTTAAATTTAATTTAAAAAAAAACCCAAAAAAAAAATTTTATTTTAAAAATTCCCATATTATTTATAAACCCAATGGGTGAAAATAAAAAATAAAAAAAAATATCCGCAAAGATTTTGTAAGTTAAAAAAGGTGTAGGGAAAAGAATTGTAAAAAAAAGAAAAAAACTTTTTAAAAAAAAAAACACC